GCATGGAGAGGGGCCAGAGGAGGCCACTCGCGTGATCCGGGGACAGCAGGACAGGCCCTACGAGGAGAGGCTATGGGACCTGAACCTGTTCAGCCTCCTCAAGAGAAGGCAGAGGGGGGACCTGGTGACGGTCTATAAACTCACTAGGGGGGACCAGAAGGGTTTGGGGGAGACCATGTTTCCCCTAGCGCCCCCCGGGATAACAAGAAATAACGGCCACAAGTTGTTGGAGAGCAGGTTTAGATTAGACATCCGTAAGAACTACTTCACAGGGCGGCTAGGATCTGGAACCGACTTCCAAGGGAAGTGGTGCTGGCTCCTACCCTGGGGGTCTTTAAGAAGTGGCTCGATGCCTACCTGGCTGGGGTCATTTGAGCTAGTTTTCGTCCTGCCCAGGCAGGGGGTCGGACCTGAAGATCTGCAAGGTCCCTTCCAACCCAACTTCTGTGATTCTATGACATTGCTGGAGCAGCTCCTCTGTTGCGAGGGCGCAGCGGGGCAGAGCCGTGTGGCTGCGTGAGGGCTCGGGCAGAAGCTGAGTACTTACCTCGCGGCTCCGGTGTGGGCGTCTGTAACCCTGGCTGTGCTGACATTGCTTAGCGCCCTGCGGGGCCCTCGTGGCCCCCCCAGGTTGAGAATCACTGCTGCAAACAGTACAAAATGCAGCTTCTGGACCAAAAAGGCTTGCAGGCAGGTATAGAGAAGACTCACGCGGGAGTGGGGGGCAGGTGAGACACGAGGGCGAGAGCTGGGCCTGGGGCCTGGAGAGGACCGGGCTGGCCCAGCAGGAAGTCCCACGTGGACGGCAGGCCGAGGGGAGAGAGGAGGACCAGTGTCCGGGGCTGCCACTGAGAAAGCCCCCAAGGCAGAGCCTGCTCAGCTGAGCCGCCTTCTGCATTTCCCTCAGGAATGGCCGATGGCTTTCTCATGGAGGTCTGCGTTGACTCGGTGGAGTCTGCTGTGAACGCGGAGCGCGGAGGTAAGCGGAGGGGCGCAGCTGGGCCTTGATCTGCTCCTCGGTGCCGTCAGTGGGGCGTGCCAGCCTGTGTAGACCTGCGACTTCTCCTGAAACAAAGTCTTCAGCTTGGGAGATGCCCGGTGGACCCAGCTCTAGCAACCTCAGGGGAAGACATGGTCCCTGCCCCACGGGGCTCGCAGTCTCCCGCAGATGCTGGCAATACAGCAGAGGTGCAGACCCTGCACTGTCTCAGTCTGCAATGCAGCAGCTGTCCCAGGCAGAGCGGGGCTGGCCCACATGCAGTGGCCTGGTGTCTCAAGTCGGCGCGAGGGGGAGCCCTGCGCTGCATGGAGCAAAGCAGGTGAAGGCAGGGTCTCCCTCCTCTGCCATGTGGACCGAGCACTCCCTGGGGAGGCAGGGGCATGCAGAGCTGGTGTCTAGGTTCTTCCAGCTGGTGGTTCCTCGTAGGATTTCCTGGGAGCCCTTCCTGGGAGCTCCTGGTCACTGTCCTTGTTCCAAGCCCAGGCCTCCGGGGGAGCGCAGAGGGAGGGTCTGTGACCCCGATTCGGGGGCTCTGACACATGTTGTCATCCCAGGTGCTGGCCGCATCGAGCTGTGTGCTGGCCTGATCGAGGGAGGAACCACACCGAGCGTGGGTGAGTGTCCCGAGGCATCCTGCTCGCTGTGCTCAGTGTCCTGTCCTGGATCTTGCTGTTCTCCAAGATCCCCATGCAAAGGATAGGCCTCAGCATCCTGCATTGCCAAGGAGCCTCCCGGCTTCTCAGCTGTCAGTCACAAAAGCTCCATCACCCTCTCTTCCTATCTGCATCTCGCTTCTACCAGCCTAGCTCCCTGCTGTCACTGGAGGGACTGGGATGTAGGCAGTTGGGGCTTGACCCTAGAGGGTCACAACCCAGGAGATCCAGAAGAGACAAGGTCAGGGCAGCAGGGGTCCCAGTAGTCAGACAGGTCTGGAGGCTAAAGGCAGTAAGGGACCGGGACATTGGAGGGCACGCTGGGTAGAGCCATGGGTGGGGGCAGGAAGAGAAGGCAGGGACCCTCCCTGGTGTCACTAGCCATGGCTTCCAAGCGGGCTGTAGCTGTATGGGACTGGGATGTGGGCGACCATCAAGCTAAGCCAGGTGCTGATGTCACAGGACAAGGTCTGGACTGGAGTCTGGATCACAAGGTGTCAGAGGGGCAATCAGGAGCCCAGGGGCTCTGGGCTGGACCCTGGAACAAGGAGTCACCAGGCAGGAACCAGTGGGCAGCAAGCAGGAACAAGGGTAAAGCCAGGGAGCCCACAAGGGCCCAGGATACCAGGAAGAAGCTGGCAGGACCCAGGGACACTAGGACTGAAAGGCAGGAGCAAGGAGTCGGCAGCCCAGGGTTAGATGGAGGCGCCTGTGCGGCTGAGCGGTCTGCTGGGCACCATCAGAGCTGCTGCTGCTGCTAAGCCAGTTACAGCCACGCAGGCACTGGGGCCAGTGGGGAAGTAGACCAGTGACAGCCGGGCCCACTTTACCCAGGGCCAGCTGGTGCCAGGTTAGCCTGCTGCTGCCTGACTCTTGCTCCCCTCCACCCTGCTAACAGGAGGCCTCAGATTCCTGCCTAGCTCCTACCTCCTGGGATGAAACCTCCCTTCTAGGCAGAGACCCTTCCCCCCCTCAGCCACAGGGCAGGTACAGGGCCCTGAGAGGGGTGTGGGTGGCCGGTGTCTGGGAGGGGCTTCTGGTGGGGCTGAGCTCTTGGTCTCTGTCCCAGCAGGGCTGCTGCAAGTGGTGAAGCAGTGCGTGCGGGTCCCAGTGTTCGTGATGATCCGTCCCCGCGGGGGCGACTTCCTCTATTCGGACCGCGAGGTGGACGTGATGAAGGCAGACGCCCGCCTTGCCAAGCTGCACGGGGCCGATGGGCTGGTGTTCGGGGCCCTGACTGAGGATGGGCGCATCGATACGGAGCTCTGCATGGCCCTGCTGGGTGAGGACAGGGCAGAGCTGACACAGACTCTGGGCCCAGCTGAACGGCTTTGCACCAACTGATGGTGCTGCTGGGAGGCTGTGTCGGGTGCTCTGGCTCTATCACTCGCATGGTGTCAGCGCTCTCATGCTCAAGCACAGGCCTAAGCAAGGGGCTCTGCAGACAGTGTGGCTGCCCCAGGTGCTTTGCAGATGCCATTGTGGGTAGCAGCAGCAGGTGGCAAGGGGGTTGGGGCAGGGTGAAGGTCATGGAACCTGTGCATAGGGGAAATTAGTGGTTCAGTGGCCAACCCCGGGCTCCTTTCCTCTTTGCTGGTGAGCGGACAGGAGCCAGAGCCCCTGGACCTGTGTCCATGCTGTACCTGCCCAGCTGCCCCACACCAGCTTCTGAACCTTCCTGTCCTCCCAAATATTCAAGAGAAAACATCAGCAGTGGAAGAAGGCAGACAGTGGGTGAACCCTGCGTGGCTAAACAGTGGGGGCCACAGCCCCCCTCAGACCCTGGGGAGGAAAGAGGCTCACAGTGTCTCCTCTGGGAGCTGCAGCCAGTGTGGGAGGCTGGGCTGTGTCTGGAGCTGTGGGGCCAGGCTGCAGCTGGCGCCCTGCATGAGGTGCAGTGGGAGGAGGGCAGGTCCCTAGGACTTCCAGCTTACAGGCACTGGGCGGTCTGTTGGGGCCAAAGCGTTGTGTGGGGAACACAGTGGATTTGTTTCTGCAGGAACCCCCTGGTCCTTGGAGCTGCCAGCGCTGAGTGCTGCTGCCCGAACCCGACAGCCCAGGCAGAGAAACTGCCTGTCCTGGCAGAAAGTTTTGGGGCCTCAGGAGAGTCTGGCTTCAGCTTTCCCAAGCAGTGCTGAGCCAGGCCCTGCTGCCCCTGAGAGGAAGAACTCCTTTGGGACAGGCTAGAAGCGGTCCCTGCAGGGGACGGTGTCTCTGGCAGGAGCGAGCGCCCCTCCGTGAAAGGCAGAAGCTCTGGGTGCAGTAGTTGGCCTTGTTGCCGTCTCTGTGTGATGGGGAGGCGCATGCTGGGCTTGGAGAGCAGCTGCTGTTGACACTCCCTGGAAGTGAATGAAGTCCTGGTGCTCCCTGGTGTGTCCTGCCCCAGGAGGCCTCAGGACTGCCCAGGGCTCACGGCAGTCAGGGGGCACACAATATGCAATCCTCAAAGAGGCAGGGCAGATGCTGACACGCTGCTGCCAGCATGGGTAGGGGCAGTCACCATGGGAGAGCACGTATGTGGGGGAACATGGACACTGTTGGTGTCCAGGGAGAGGGTTCTGCATTGGCTGGGTTTCTCTGAAAGTCCTTGGAGATGTCCCTGGGTGCCTTGCAGTGGGACCTGCAGGCACATGCCCAGTTTAGCACTGGTACCAGGGCCCCATGGAGGAATCTCTGCTGCTGGCAGGCATTTCAGCCCTGTCCCTGCTGCGTGCCTTGTGCTTGGCTCCCAATTCAGGTATCAGCCCATAGCCATGTTCCCCGACTTGCTGTGTGCAGTGTCACTGGACCAGAGAACCACCCCTGAGCCTGGGATCCCTGGGCCCCGCCCAGTGCAGCAGGGGAACCTCCTGGCACAGCCATCTTCCCTGCAGGGCTTTGCATGGCAGCCCTAGAAGTGTTGTCCCTGGGCAGGGACCTCTCCTTCCACGTGAAGCCTTTACTGACCATGCACAATCCTCTCCTCTTGCAGCCGTTTGCCGTCCCCTGCCAGTCACCTTCCACCGAGGTGAGTCTTTTGGGAGGGGGCTCGGGGAGGTCATGGGCTCTGTCCTATGTGACAGGAGATCTGGGGCTGGGAGGCCAGGTTGTGGGCACTGTCCCTGAGCTGGGAGAGGCTCCCAGCTGTCTGTGCTCTTCTGCTGCAGAGAAGCAGGCCCAGGTGCCAGTGGCTCAAGGGGAATCAGTGCTGCCTCAGAGGTGGGCAGTGAAAAGGAGGAGCTTTGGTGCCAGGCTCTGGTTCATTTGGCCTGAGTTGGCTGTGGGACAGCAGCTGGATGCTGCAGCCTGCACCAGGCTGGTGTCTGAGCCGATCTATTTGGTCCTACAGCCTTCGACATGGTCCATGACCCCATGGTAGCCCTGGAAACCTTGATCTCTCTGGGCTTTGAGCGTGTGCTGACTAGTGGCTGCGACAGCTCAGCGCTGGAGGGGCTGCCCTTGATCAAGAGGCTAGCAGAGCAGGTGAGCACTCCCCACATCCACCCTCTGGTCTGCTGCTCTCCGAGGGCAGAGATGCTGCCAACCGCACAGAGCTCCCAGCCCATGTCAGAGGAGACGTAGGAACAGGGAAGTGTGGGGCTGGGGACAGGATCCTGCAGTACAAGCCCGCTGGGACCTGGTTGTGAGGCCTTTGGCATTTCTCCTGCACTTACATGACTACAGGTAAGGGTCCCATAGCCTTGTCATGCTGCACAGGCCTGTGAGGGGGGCTCCAGAGAAGGCACTGGAGACAAGTGTCCTGTGCTGGTTTCTTGCAGTCAGTGTTGTGTAGCTTGGGGATCTGGGGAGGAGTTGTTAGTGTTGAGTGGGGAGAGTCCAGGGCCTCCAGAGCAGAAGTCTGGAGGGTGCTGAGGTAAAGCGACGAGCAGAGCACAGCTGAGGCATGGAACAGCTTCGTGGCTGGGTTACGGTCAGGAGTGGTGGGCTCTGCCATCTGGCAGCATGGAGCTCCAAGCACGGCCCAGTCTAGACACATGAGCTGCACTCCCCAACCTAGGGTGGATCAGACCAGGGCCCTGTGAGGCCCAGCACCCCCACACGGCTGAGCTCTGCCTGACTACGTCCCTGCGGCTACTGCGATCAGCCCCCAGGGACCTCCCCGTCTGACTGTCCAGCCTTCTAGTTGCAGGTACCTGCAACCTGCCACAGCCTATTGAGCAGTGAATATTGCAGGCACAGCAGTCCCATGTTGTGTGCGTACGCATGTCTGTCAGACCAACCTGGTGGCCTTCTATGACCAGGTCAAAATCCTTGGATGCAGCTGTCGCGGTGGATGTAGTTGTTCTGGACTTCAGGAAGGCCTTTGACATGGTCTCTCACCCCATTCTCATTAAAAAACTCGGGGACTGTGGCATTGACACCTACACAGTCAAATGGGTCACTAACTGGCTGGAGGGCCACACCCAGAGAGTGGTGGTGGATGGGTCCTATTCAACCAGGAGGGATGCGGGCAGTGGGGTCCCCCAGGCCTCGGTCCTCTGGCCCGCACTGTTCAACATCTTCATCAGCGGCTTGGACGAGGGGGTAAAAAACACCTTGTTCAGATTTGCAGATGACACTAAGATGTGGGGAGATGTGGGCACACTAGAAGGGAGGAATAGTCTGCAAATCGGACCTAGACAGGATACAGGGGTGGGCAGATGAGAACAGGATGGGTCTCAACACTGACAAGTGCAAGGTGCTGCACCTGGGGAGGAAGACCCAGCAGCAGACCTACAGGCTGGGGACCTCCCTTCTCGTCAG